CACACCATCACACTTGATTAATTGGGTCTTTGGGGCCAAATGTGACAAAGTTTGCGAAGCTCGTGTGCACCGTTCCCATTAGTGGGCTCGGGTTGGTAGGCCCTTGGAGGCTGTTGATTGAATCAACCCCTTTTGCTTGTGGTTAAGTGTGTTGAGAGGTGTCCCATGAAAAATAAGGAGTGATCTTGGGGTTTTATTTCCTTACATTTTGATTTAATTGAGGGTGTCGCACTCACTTCACCCCATCTTCAATGTAGGGGGAGGAACAACACATTCTTGACTTCTTGTGCATGGCTTATTTGCATAACCTTTGGAGGAGTATGATTGCTTTGAGTATACTTGGCGCTTATATTTGCTTGTCTTTGTTTTGTCTTGCTTAGCTTGAGGGCAAGCAAGTTCTAACTTTGAATCTTGAGATACATAACTTTAAACCATGAGGTGCATAACTTTGAGCATTCATGTTCATGTTGCATTGTGCCTTCAAGTGCACAACAATGTACATGCACTCGAAAAACAAAAATAATGCACCAATATGCACAACAATGTGCACTCAAAAAGACAAAAATATGCACTAGAAGAAAGAAAATAATGCACCTAAAGACAAAAATAAATGCTTTTATAAAAAATTACCAAAATGTCACCGTGTTTTTTTTTTTTTTTTAATTTTCCTTCATTCTGAACGGTTGATCGGGAGTAATCAATAGCTAAGATTTGTGCAAAATTTTCACATTAGAACTCCTTCGCATTTAATCCGCTATATATATATATATATATATATATATATATATATATATATATATATATATATATATATATATATATTTATATTGTTATTGAATATATCAAAAAATATTTTGAATAATGATCTCTAAAAATTGATTTAAATTTTTGATTAATTTTATAACCTTATTGTCTCAAAAAATTGAATGGAAAAAATAAATGTGTAAAATAAGAGTTGATAAATATGCTTTTTAATTAATTGAAAATAGAAAATAGGGCATCGTCAACAACTATGCAGTGTGAATAATATGATGACATCTAACTTATCATTCTAAATGGGTGGTCACATGATTAAATATATATTGCCATGAAGTGTGAATAATGTGATGACATCTCACTTATCACTCCAAATGGGTGGTGACATGATTAAACATATATTGCATTGTAAAGAATCATGGCATTTCAAAAAAAAAAAAAAAAAAAAAGTCACTTTCAATAATGCAAATAGCACTTTCAAATAAACAAAAACCTACATTAACCAAATTTGATCTGTACACTACCCAAGGCCGATTTTTAAATTTTTGTGGCCCTGTTTGAGTAAATAAATAAGGCCCTACCAAAATTAAAATGTTTAAAACAAATATCGTAATTTTATTATCAAAATATATAACACAAAAAATTTATCCGTGCATCGCACGCACATTGCACGGATAATTGGGCAATTATTTGCTCGAATTCAAGCAAGGATAACATAAAAAAAAAAACATAATCGATACAACCCATTTCATCAATTGCACTATATAATATTCGTTGTTATAATATAAAAATTATAACAAATCTTTTCCGTGCAACGCACAAGTAAAAATAGACATATTATGGAATAATAATAATAGTGTGCACAAGTTTTGAACCTTAGACCTCAAAGTTAAAATACAATAAATACATGTCCCTACCATTTTTTTTCTAAAGCCTTTTAGGTTTAGTTAAAATTTTTAATTCTTATTATTATACTAACTAGGTAAAAATAAAATATTGAACTTCTAAAATTTGGGGCCCCTCTAAAATTTGGGACCTGTGCGGTAGCCCCGCTTGCACAGCCCAAAATCCGGGCCTCTCTCAAGCTAATCGACCACGACGGTAATCTAAAACAACCAAAACATGGCAAATTATGCTGTGCATCCGTATGCACCATGCATAGTGCATACGGATGCAAAAACGACGTCGTTTTAATAAAACGCGTGTCTCCCCTTAAAAAAAAATCAGGTTCGATTCCCAGCAACAACATATGAACTAAAATTCCATAATCGATGAACTATAATTCCATAATCGATGAACTATAATTCCATAATCTAATCTATGAACTAAAAATTTCAGAATGAATGAACTAAAATTTCATAATCTATAAACTAAAATTTCAGAATCGATGAACTACAATTCCATAATCGATGAACTATAATTCCATAATCAATGAACTATAATTCCATAATCTATGAACTAAAATTCCAGAATGAATGAAGAATATAATGTTGTTGCTGGGAATCGAACCTGAATTTTTTTTAAAGGGAAGACGCACGTTTTTTAATAAAACGACGTCGTTTTGGCATCTGTATGCACCATGCATGGTGCATACGGATGCACAGCATAACTATCCCCAAAACATCTACAACAATGTTTAGGACAACCGCAAGACCAAGAAAAAGGACCTTTACTATGACTGGCTCATCCTTAAGCTTTTATACATCGAAAACAAGGCATGACTAGAATAAACATTCCAAACAAGCAAGAAAAGTATAAAACGCCGACGAGCACGTACAACTAACACGATATTTCTCCTGAAATATAAGAACAAAAAAAATCAAAAAGTTTCTACCTAGACATTCTGTTTTTTTTTTTTTTTTTTTTTTTTTTTTTTGATTTTTTTTGGTGTCGAAAAAGACCTTTCCCCAATTAATATAGCATATTATGTAATAGTTTATTCTTAAAAAAAAAAAAAAAAAAAAAAAAAAAGGTAAATCTTACCCTGGCGGAAGCAGCAGAGTCCATTTTTCCTTCCTCAATGCTGGAGAACATTTCAAAATTAGTTTTTTTTTTTTTTTAAAAAAGAAACTCATCAAAAAATAATAATTGCTAAGCATAACTGATTAGTTGAGCAAATCTGTATGAGTAACTATATAAAATGTCTAACTGTACACATAAAATAAAATATACTTTTTTTTGGAAATAAAATATACTTTTAATACAGTAAATATTTGAAAGTTGTTTGTGGTAAATATTTAAACATTAAACAATTATTTTAAATACAATAACCATTTAAACAGAATGAAATATTTCACAAATATAGTATAAAAATATTTAAAACATTTAACATCAAAACAATATAGTAACTGCACACTTAATATAAAAATTTAAAACATTAATATAAGTTCATGTTATTTTGTAATTTTATACATAAAATATACAGAAATAATGAGCTATCAAATTAAAAGTAGTCAAAATAAACATTCAGAAAATTAATCTTCTCACCGGGAAAAAAAAAACTTTTCAAATTTTAGATAATAAAAAAATAGAAAAGAGTTAAATAGACCCTTAAACACTACTCAAAAGATAATTAGGCCCTAAACTTTACAAAAGAACAATTAAACACTCAAAATTGTCATTTTAAAGCAAATAAGCCCTATTTATTGGTAACCAACAGGTTACCGGTAAATTATAGCGGTTGACCGCCGCTAAAAACCAAAGAAAAAAAAATCGCCGAAGCAATTTCCGGTCACCTTCTCCATTGGAGTAGACTGTCCGGTCATCTTCTCCTGGGGTCCAATGGAGAAGGCGACCAGAGGTCGTCCTCTCCAATGGAGAATGCGACCAGATCTGGTCGCCTTCTCCATTGGAGAGGAATACATCTGGTCATCTTCTCCATTGGAGAGGACGACCAGAGGTTCGGGTCTCCTTCTCCACCGGGGAAGACGATAGGCCGGTCGTCTTCTCCAGGGCCGATTTTTAAATTTTTGTGGCCCTGTTTGAGTAAATAAATAAGGCCCTACCAAAATTAAAATGTTTAAAACAAATATCGTAATTTTATTATCAAAATATATAACACAAAAAATTTATCCGTGCATCGCACGCACACTGCACGCACATTGCACGGATAATTGGGCAATTATTTGCTCGAATTCAAGCAAGGATAACATAAAAAAAAAAAAACATAATCGATACAACACATTTCATCAATTGCACTATATAATATTCGTTGTTATAATTTAAAGATTATAACAAATCTTTTCCGTGCAACGCACAAGTAAAAATAGACATATTATGGAATAATAATAATAGTGTGCACAAGTTTTGAACCTTAGACCTCAAAGTTAAAATACAATAAATACATGTTCCTACCATTTTTTTTATAAAGCCTTTTAGGTTTAATTAAAAACTTTTAATTTTATTACTATACTAACTAGGTAAAAATAAAATATTGAACTTCTAAAATTTGGGACCCTGTGCGTTAGCCCAGCTTGCACAGCCCAAAATCCGGGCCTGACACTACCTTCCAATTCATAGATGATAATGGTCATTGGCCAATTAGGCAAACGTACAATCGTTATACCCTACACCACGGCGCACATAGCACTGTGCGCCGCGCGCCTCCCAAAACGACGTCTTTTTGGGGTCATTTTGGGAGGCGCGGTAGGAAGTTGCTGGGATTATGTGTATTTGTTCACACAGTTATGTGTATTTGTTCATACAGTTATGTGTATTGGTTCATACAGTTATGTACATTTTTTATACAATTATGTACATTCTTTTTATACAATTATGTACATCCGAATCAGAAAATTTGTGTGTATTATGTTAATAGTTGATGTGTATTATGTTAAAAGTTTATGTTTATTATGTATTATGTTAGATTATGTGTATTATCTTTTAAAAAGAGTATGTATATTTTGTTATATAATTATGTACATTCATGTATACAATTATGTGTGTTCTAGTATAACATTATGTACATTCTTGAACAGCGGGTTTGTTTTTAAAGAAAAAACTACTGTCATTCACTGGGGCGGGAAATTTTAAAAAAAAGAAAAAAATTTAAACGACGTCGTTTTGCATCTGGGCGCATAGTGCAAGGCGCGCCGTGGTGTAGGATATAAATTGCCATTGATACGTAGGGGCCGAATAGGAAATTCACAGCAATTGATGTTCCTGAGGAAGAAGAAAGCTTTCCCCTGTGCTTGGCTGCTAGTGCGTATATATTGAAGCTAACCTGCTTGCTTATAAGCTTCATCAACCTCTCTTTCACAACTCACAATTCTCTCTCTCTCTCTCTCTCTCTCTCTTTCATTGCCCAGTTTTCTTAACAACTGATCTCTGCTGTGTTTTCTGTTTCTTTTTCCTCTGTTGAGTGGTGGGTGTGAGCCCCCTCTACTCAAAAACACTTATCACGTTACAGCTTAGTTTTGTTAGAACCTCTAGATTCTGAATCCCATTTTTGCCTCTTCTTTAAGCTTCTCCTTCATTTCCCAAGACTTCAAAAACCCAAACTTTCAAGTAAAAACCAGCTATGGAGGTTGGAGACCTGAGAACTAGTATTCTTCAAACTGACAAATTTCCTCCCTCTTCTGATGTTCTTGATTCTCTTTGGATTCCCGACTCTAAGCCCTCTTTCCATGGTAGTTTTCTTTTAGGATTTTGTTACTTTGATGATTTTCTGTACTGTTTAAGGATTTAAGAAAGCTTTGTTTCCTTTTAATAGTTGTTGAAATCTTTAGGATTTCTGTGATTTTCCCTCTGTTAATTTCTCAGTTAAAGTTCAACAACTCATAATTCATTCTGTTTCTTCAGGCCCTGCTGCATCAATGGTGAATTTTGATGGTTTGCAAGAAGCAAGGGGATTAGAGAAAGAGGAGAGCAGAAGCAATAATGAGGATGATTACCAAGGAGGATACTTGGGTCATCAACCTGAGAAGAAAAGGCGACTTTTGCCGGATCAAGTGCAGTTTCTTGAGAAGAGCTTTGAGGTGGAGAACAAGCTTGAGCCTGAGAGGAAACTCCATTTGGCTCAAAAACTTGGGCTTCACCCTAGACAGGTTGCCATTTGGTTCCAAAACCGGCGAGCCCGCAACAGAACCAAACAGATTGAGAAGGAGTTTGATTCCTTGAAAGCTAGCTATGACAAACTCACATCTGATTTTGATGCCATCTCCAAAGAAAATCAGAATTTGAGGCATCAGGTAAAAATCATAACATAATTTTCTTACAGACCGTCATCACATTTTCGAGACAGTTGGGTGTTGGGCTTGGCTTTTTTCGGCCTCCCGCCTAACAATTCCCCAACCACCATGTGCTAGACTTAGTCTTTACTGACTTCAGCTCAACAATTTCCTAGCCACCGAGTGCTAGACTTGGCCTTTACCAACCTCAGCCCAACAATTCTGCATCATTGCCTGGACTAAAAATCATATTGGACTTGGTCTTTATCGGCCTTCGCCCAACAATCTCCCAGCCACCGGATGCTAGACTTGGCCTTTACTGACCACCGCCCAACAATCCTCCAACCATTGGGTGCTAAATTTGGCTTTTACCGGCCTCTGCCTAACAATCTCTAGCCAGCCAGTGCTAAACTTGGCCTTTACTGGCCTCTGCCAAACAATTCTGCATCATTTAATTTCCTGGATTCAAATTCAGATTGGGCTCACTGTTTTATTAATGTTCTGCAATAGGTTCAATTGCTGACAGAGAAACTGAAGAGCAAAGAAAGAGAGGATGATCAAATGAATTCATTTGAGGCAGAACCTCAGAAGCAGCAACCCATTGGTGGTACAATTTTGGCAGATGGAAAAGCTTTATTATCAATCACAGTTTGCAAGCAAGAAGATGCAATAAGTTCAGCCAAAAGTGATGTTCTTGATTCAGACAGCCCACATTGCAAAGATTTGGAATCATCAGATTTTTCCCAGGATGAAGATGATAGCCTTCCCCCAAATCTTTTCCACACACTCAGCTTCCCAAAGCTTGAAGATCATCATTATGCAATAAATTCTTGCAACTTGGGATTTTCCATTTCTGATCACTCTCCTTGGTTCTGGACTTCTGGGCTTGTTGACTAGACAACATAATATAAATATATAATATAACCTCTTTTTAGTATTTTTGTTTCATTATATTTTACCACTGTACTGTTGCCACTACAGCTTCTGGTACCTAGTACTGCTAGCTTTCTCATGCAATAACATACATGTTGTAAATAAGGTTAAACTATGATTAGTGAATGAATATTTTGGTTGGTTCAAGAATCTTTTTGTTCAGTTGACCATGATATGATGATGTATATTTGCACAATTAAGTTGACTGTGAATCCTCATCACTAATCAATAATCAGGTGGTGTTTATGGTACAAATTACATGCTTAATTTTTTTTATCAGACCACGAGGTGTCCTGAACAAGCCCTAACTGTAAGAGGCACCTTTAAGTTCGTACCATACTCAAATTAATCCCTGTCCTCGACCCAATTAAGAGACAAAGTGCTGGCCAGATTAGTTTTTTTATACGAGAGGGGTTTAAAATTTCGACCTCTCTTAAAGGATGAGAGAGGATACTCACACCAACAAAACTGGTTAATTACATGCATAATATAATTAACCTATTAGTAAGTGGGGATTCTTTGGCTTGTTTGTTAAAGATGATGATCTGATGAGTCACCATGAGTCACTTTCTGGGATGTTGATACAAAGACCAGATTAAAAGCATGTGCATATTTTTACACCTACTTTGTCACCATTCTGTGTGCTTTCTGCAAGCTGTTTGAGTTTGCAACTTTTATGCAAATCCACAGGAATATGATTATTGCATTAAAATAATACTAATTTATAGTGTCTGGAAGCTAGCCAAATGTCACAAACCCATTCATTATTGTGCATGATCAATATCTATTTTTGTGGGTATTTGTGGGCTTGTGGCCTTCACTTAGGCTCCCAATGGGATAGATTTGTCTTGTCAAATCACCAAATCAAATCTCTTCATAGATATTTTCTCAACTTACTGAAGATTTTCTATTTGAGAGAGTCACTTTATGTCATTAGACCACAAAACTATTGGGTGATGATGTGGAAGAGATAAATATTAGGTGATGATGTGAATGTGAAATATCTCTTTTATCATTATGAATGTCCATTATTTGTAGACTCTTGGTGTTACACTCTGATCTCTTTTACTAGAGTAAATAACCTTTTTGTATTATTCTATAACTAGTAATTCACCCGCGCGATGTACGGGAAAAAATTTATGTTATTATAAATATAAATAAAAATAGGAAAAATAAAAATATTTTAAATTGTTTAATATAATAATATTTTTGAGCTTTCATTGGTCAAGTATTTATTATTTTTATAGAATACAAAATTATAATTAAAATTTTGTATGGTTAATATAATCTCTAATTATGTACATATTCAAATAAGCTTATAGAGAGAATTTACATAATTACATTGATTTATTCTTAATTGTATTTTATCTATATTATAATTTTCACAATACGAATAATAACTAAGATAATTACATTTAGAAAGCAAATTTCAAATTTTGTATGAGTAAATTTAAACTCTAATTGAACACATTTTTTATATGATTATATAATATATTCTTTATGCACATGGCATTCCATAAACTCAAATGTCATTTTATAAGTCCAAGACCACTTTTTGTGGAGATAATTCAAATGTATTTTTAAGACCACTTTTTGTGGAGATAATTCAAATGTATTTTTTTTCTTTTAAAAATCCTAAGTTTAGACATCCATAAAAACATTAAAGACCCATACGATATATACATTTATATATATTTAAATTTTTATTTATGGCTTAAATGATTTTTTTTAATTATGAAGTCCAATAATTGACCCACGACCCGCAACATTTGCTTTCTTCATCCCTTCTCGCTTCTGCCATTTCTTTGAAGCATTTGAGATGGAGAAAAATTATATGTAGAGGCTTGCATTAATTGCACTGTTTCAGATATTGAACAGGCTTTCATCGAAAATTTAATTAATATTGTAATCACAAGAACCACCATAAATAACAAAAGCATATCAAATAAACTTTCATGGTAAAGCCAGAGATTTAACTAATATTGCATCGTTTCATATTTTCTATTAATCGGGAATGGGAATCCTTAATCCTAATATCATAACATTTAATAACTCCATTAATTCAATAAATGTAATCCTTTGTTATGGGCGAGAAAAAAAAAATAACTATTTTATTTTTCAAATGTTGTGCTTTTTTTTTTTTTAATAGTAAAAGATGTTGTGGCTATTTTATATTTATAGCTAGTAATAATAATAATGTTGGTAATTAATTATAACATTAATTATTTCCCAACTATATAGCTTTATTATATGTAAGATGAATTATCATGCTAGACTCATTTCTATTTTTCATTGTTTGTGTTTTTTACCGCCTAACTTGGAAATACTTTTTACCTGTAAAAATGCTTTGACTATTTAACCAGTTTAATTTAGTGAGCGCTTCTAACTCAGTAACACCAAGGATGGATGTTGGGGTGGAAAATGCTGGGAAATAATCATTTTCCTTCTACAATACTAGTGACCCATTTGGTTTGCGAAAAATAAGTTCGCAAGAGAATTTATTCATCAAATTTGAGGGAAAACATATTTGAAGTGATGAAAAATTTATTTCAATGAAAAATAAATTCTCAAATTTGAGAAAAATGAATTTCTTGATCTGGTATTTTATTTGTCACAGGTTTTTGAAAGAAAAGATACCATATGAATTCCTATATTAGCCTCATATATCTTTATTATGTAGGAGCATATAAATCTTTGTATTAATTATTTCTAACAATTTATTTCACACCAACTAAACAATAAATTTAATATTCAAAGTAATTTCTTTTTATACAATTTAAATTCAATTCTTTTCTACGAATTAAGCAGACTATAACAATTGTATCAAATTTTAAACTTAAAAACCAAAGAACTTGTACTCCAATGGTACCATGTTGCTCCCTTATGTGAGAGGTGATAGGTTTGAGTCTCAGCAGAGACATTTGATGTAATAAGATATTCCCCTTCCAATAAATTAGAAAAAATTAAACTTAAAAATCAAATTTTAATGTTCAAAATAATTTCGCTAAATAAATTCATTGTGATCAATAATTAACGAGTAATTAACTAAAAAATTGTGGAGGTTGAACCCGAGGGCATCTGGAATTCATTGTGATCAATAATTAACAAGTAATTAACTAAAAAATTGTGGAGGTTGAATCCCTAACTTCAAGGGCATTAACGAGTAATTAATTAAAAAATTGTGGAGGTTGAATCCCTAACTTCAAGGGCTCAAAAAATTGTGGAGGTTGAACCCGACAGAGCATCTGGAATTCATTGTGATCAATAATTAACAAGTAATTAACTAAAAAATTGTGGAGGTTGAATCCCTAACTTCAAGGGCATTAACGAGTAATTAATTAAAAAATTGTGGAGGTTGAATCCCTAACTTCAAGGGCTCATACGTCCTGGCCCGACAGAGCATCTGGAAGTATGTAAATCCCTAACTTCAAGGGCTCATATGTCCTGGCCCGACAAAGCATCTGGAAGTATGTAAATCACGATAACATCCCTAACTTCAAGGGCTCATACGTCCTGGCCCGACAGAGCATCTGGAAGTATGTAAATCATGATAACTCAGCTGAATACAAAGGTTAAATATTTGTTTACTGCGCACAAGGAGTCTCCTCATTTTGAAAGGTTGCTCTGTTCTTATACTGCCGCTGGTGAAACTCGATCTTGGGTCATTGTTCTCAAACTTTATTCATGTGACCAACTGAGTTGTCCAAGCGAACAAAATTGTGGAATCCAGACATGGGAACTGGGAGGGCCTGAAAGAATGGCATGCAGGAGCCTCTAAAGTCAAAAATTTTGAAAATTAATTTCAAAAAGTGTAAATCACTAGCCAAGGACTTTTTTGGCTAATAGATGTTGACATTTTGTCACTAAAAACATTTCTTAAAACAATTTGGACGTTTAGAATGTCGTCACAAAGTTTTTGTTTTTGTTTGTTTTTAGTTTTATTTTTGGTAACGGAATCAAATAATTTTGATATATGATAATGGTTGCTGATGTAGTTTAATTACACGTGTTAGTTATAAACATAATTTAATTACTATAATAAGATATTGGTGAATCTTTTATGAATATTTTGAAATATGGGCAGCGACACATTAAACACGTAGCTTTGAAGGAACAAATTTTGCTCTCATTAAGTTTTGTAAACATCGACAGTTGTTCCAAGGAATTTTGTATAAAATAAGAATATAATGTTTATTGGAACCTTACCAAACACTACCCTCTAACCATATATCCTAGGGGTTTTGTTATCAGATCTATATTTAGATACTATGTTAAATTTTGTGTCCAAATTCGATGGTAGGTTTATGTTATTTCATAATTAATTGAAGCAGCTTTCTTTAGTGGTATTATTGAGTTTGAAGAACTTAAATTTATACATTAATAAAATCAAACTAACTAATTTGTAGAATCACATTTGTAAACGTGCATACAGATATGGACCATTGGATAAGCTCAGATAACGGCTAGAAATCAATAAAAGGGGAAAAAAATGAAATGGCATTTTAGTAATTTCAATTATATACAGGTGCATTTAGATATGCTTAATTGGTGGTGCATTTAGATATCGTTGATGGTGTTTTGAGTCCAATGCACCATCAAGTATTCCCGTATGCACCAAAGACCAACACTTAAGTGCACCATGGACCAGCATTTGGTGGTGCACCACATACCAACACGTAGTGCACCACAGACTAGTACTTAATTAGTACATCACAAAAATACCATCGTATTTTTCTCATTTTCAATGATATTCAACTGTTGATCTAAGCTCATCTGATGATCTGAGCTCATCTGATGATCTAGATCTGTTCACATATTCGCACCTGGGGAGGCTGTCACATCTGGTCCTATATATATATGTGTGTGTGTGTGTGTGTGTGTGTGTGTGGTTTTTTAAAAAAAAATGCCATATAGGCAAGATGATATGTAATTAACTCGGATAATCAATCATTTCAGTATAATTACACTATCTTTACTTGCTTAGGAAGTCAACTTTATTTTTTATTTTTTTAAGTGGTCTAATTGTATTCCTATATATAATTTAATGGTGTATTTAAACATTTTTCTAATATATTTTTTTGAACAAATACAACCTTAAATTTACGTTTTAGCATACTTTCTAATAATATAATTTACATAAAAGTCTAACCAACGGTACATATAACCCCAACTATGGAAGTTTTAAAAGACAAGAGTAGTTGCATTCATGTGAGAAGTCATAATCTTGTACAACGTTTGTGTTTCAATTCAAAGAGTCGTTGAGACGACAACTGCGATATATTTCAACATCTCTGCATCAATTCAAGGGGGTTTTGCTATATATTCTTGAAATAAAGAGAAACATATATGCAAGTTGTGGATTTGAAGAACTTCAACAACCAACTGCGTGTGATTGCGAAATTTTTATAATAATAAATGCAGCGAATTGTAGATTATAAGGAGGTAAACAAACCATTACACAAAGATACACACTGGGTGAAATTTTTCTTGTTGTTTAGAATTGTTCAGCTTAAATAAAAAAGGTTAAGTTATCAATATACGCTCACATGAAAAGTCAAATTTGAAATCTTGTGATTACCAAGTTAACTGTTCGACCAACTTAATTAGAGTTGTCCAGCCAATATTAATACAATAGTTTTTTAATTTGAATGGTTGAAAATTCTTACTACTTTTGAAGGAGGATGCCAAGGTTGTTCGAACTTTTTTTGCTTTTCTAATTCTCAAAATTACTAAAAAATCGCTGGTTGTCTTAGTCAGTTCAATTGTCTAAATTTCCTGAATATCTTTCTTGATAGTCGGAAGTTTTTTTTTTACTTTTAATTCTATGATTATTGAATCATATTCACATTTAATTATCGACTATTAATTTTTTTACATTTAATCTCACGACTTTTAAAATATTGTCATATTTATACAAGTACACATATTTATATGTTAGAAAGAATGGAAAGAGATGAAATTACTTTTAAGGAACAATCTATCTTTTTCTTTCTAACAACTTTTTCCATAACCGAAAGGGAGGGTTATGGTTGGATATGTGACAATATACTCAATCAACCCAAGCATTACATTGTCTTCCCAAGCATCCATTCCATATATTCAATAATAATGATTGAGAGGCCCTTAGTGTTGGGGTTCAGCCTTTTGAAAGAATAATAATGATTGAGAGAATAATAACTTGTAAACAAATACTTTCATTATTTGATTCTTGTCAAAAACACTTTCAGTCGAATTCGTCACAGAAATACAATATACTAAAAAAGAACATATATATTGGTGGTGATACGATCCCACATCGGTTCCACATGCAAGAGATTGTGGAGTGGTACTTAAGTTGGGGCCAAACCTCCACTCATGAGCTAGCTTTTGTGGTGGAGTTAGGATCTTGGCTTGAGTACCGTATCATTTAGTGTTCTTGCTGAGAGGCCGGAGTGTGGTGGTAAAGGGCTACCTGGAAGAGGGCTACACGGTGCTTGATAAGGTTCAAAGCGAACCGAGAAGAGTCCGAAGTGAAAGCTATCCAGAGTGAAGCCGTCCACTCATCCGGTGCTGGCCTAGCGGAGGGGGCGACCTAGAAAAGGGCTACCTGGTGCTTGATAAGGTCCGGAGTGAAGCCATGCAAAGGGGAAAAGGGCTACCGGCCTGGTGCCGAGAAGAGTCTGGAGTGTGAGCCGTCTAGAGTAAGTCGGCGCGGACGTCGGCTTCTCAAGGGGTGGGCAATGATACGATCTCACATCGGTTCCACAAGAGATTGTGGAGTGGTACTTAAGTTGGGGCCAAACCTCCACTCATGAGCTAACTTTTGTAGTGAAGTTAGAGTCTTGGCTTGAGTACCGTATCAGGTGGTCTACTTTGCGATGCATCATTTTACACAGTAATATGATTGATTTCTTTAATATGTAATTTTTTAATCCCTTCGAAATTTTACATGTCATTCATCTATATTGTACGGAGTATTTCTTTTCTCTTAATTGCAATGATACAAATGGAAGACATAAAAACTTCCCAAAGATGCCTTCTAGGCAAATTATATTATACACTCCAACTCCACCTTAATTGCCAGGTAAACTTTGAGGTTATTTTTAGTATATCATTAGTTCATTTTTAATATAATATGTTTATTATATTTTGATATAACATCAATTTTACTATATTGGAAGTTCATTTTTAATGCATTGCATGCAAATTAAAATAAATTTATAGTACACTAAAAATAAACTTAAAATATACTAAAAATAAACACACACACACACATATATATAGGGAAGGCCGGAAGGGATTACGTGCGGGGAGGGCTTCTCGTGCGGTTAGACGCACATTAAACATTAAACTGACGCACTTTAAGTACACAACACATGTATGCACATTAAGCACACAAACAAAACACCTTAAGAACACAAACCCACGCACCTTAAACACAAAACTCACGCACCTTAAGCACAAACCTCACGCACTTAAGTACAAAACACACGCACCTTTTAAGTTTCAACAACTACTCACATTAAGCACAAAACTCGCGCGCGCACCTTAAGCACAAGACTCACGCACCTTAAGTACAAGACTCACGCATCTTAAGTACAAAACTCGTGCAAATTACTCACCGCACAACCGCACGAGAAACACTTAATTGCACGAGAACTTTTATATATATATATATATATATATATATATATATATATATATATATATTAATAACAAATTTGGTGATGACTTGGAAGTCGGAAAACAAAGAAAAGAAATATTAGAAATGAGATGAATATTGACGATTAAACATTTACCAATACGCCAAAAGTTATAGCTCGTAGTGAAGGCGCAACTTTATTTCATTATAAACTGCTATCACATTTTTGAGAGGCATAATATTAAACTTGACCCTACCTCCGCTCAACAATTCCTCTAACCACCAATTAATAGATTTAACCCTTTATCAACCCCGCTAGGCCAACAAATACTACGGACAAAGGAAGGTTGATCGGGATGGTAATAATCAAGTTGAATTGATCGGGAAGGTTCACGTCGGACATGTACTTGTCCGTGGGAAAAGACAGAAATGTGAAGGTGAAACATGCAATTTCTCAAAATATAACCAAAAAAAAAGTTAGACGAAAATATGAAAAACACATTTGAGAAATGTGTTTTATCATATTTCCAGTTAAACTTAAAACGCAAATGAGACTTGTGTTTTTTGAGAAACGTATTTTTTTTTTTTTAAATTTTGGTTTCTCCGGCGAAGGAGAAGGCCACTGGTTGCCTTCTCCTTCGCCGAAGAAGCCAGCGACCCCATTTTTGGTCGTTGATTTCACCAGCAAAGGAGAAGGCCACTCCTTCGCCGACCAAAACTGGTCGCTGGTTTCTCCGGCGAAGGAGAAGGCAACCAGTTCTTCGCCAGAGAAGCCAAAATTTTAAAATAATAATAATAATAATAATAATAATAATAATAATAAATTTGCATTTCTCGAGAAACACAAGTGAAATTTACGTGTCTTGAGAAACGCAAGTGTTTTAAGTTTGACCGGAAATATGATAAAACGTATTTTTCAAATGTGTTTTCATATTTTCGTCCAACTTTTTTTTTTTTTGTTCGTATTTTAAAAAATTGCATGTTTCACCTTCACATTTCTGTCTTTTTCCCCTTGTCCGTGTTGCCATCTTGCATGCATGCATGCATACCAATGCCATTGCTAGGAAACCTGGCCGGCGGCCCCATCATGAAGATAGCAGACCAACGTGGAAGAATCGCACAACAGATGAGAACCGCCCCGGCCCCGGTACCCGATCTTCTCCTTAGCTTTCCAGATCAGACGACTATCAGAGATGAGATAAGAATCTGAGACGCCAGTGGGGACCCACCCAATTTCTGACTCGCTCTATCAACTCCTCTTCCGCCTTTACCTCAATTTTACTTCTTACGCTGTCTCTTTCTTATTGGTTACCTTTCATTTTGAAATGATTATCTGATGCTGGACCCGGACCCATGTAAAACAAATTTATTTTATTTTATGTTATTAATTTATTCAAAAAAGTTTAACAATGAATATAAAATAGTGTAAGTGGCAAACAGATTCTTGGGAATACAGACATGCATGTACATTATGAGCACTGAAAATCAATCACTACTTTAATTTGGTAGCTCAATTGGAGATGACTGCCCAAGATTTCATGGGAAAAAACAAATGATTAATTGAATCATAAAATGTTTGGTTTTATGTCACTGGGGAACAAATATTACTCTGGTAAATGGGTGCTACAAAATTTTAGAAAGGAAGCTATATATTTCAATGAAAACATCATCAGAAAAGAAAAGAATTTAACTACCTACAAAGGTCGAGTTCTGGTTAAGACGATGAAATATTAGTTGCGCAAGTTTGCAGCTCCTGGAAAGGCTGGGGTCTTGCGAGAGTCTAGCAATGCCGGGTTTTATTTTCATGTGATGATAAGTAGATTGTTTTCGTACCCGTTATTCTGAACAATGGGGCGTAGAGGATCAATCCTCCATTCACCGTCAACAATGAACTTGATCTGCAGAGGGAATGAAATACTCACTATTCCAAAGGATCGGAGTACATAATATTGAAGTCACTGAGTAGAGATAACAACGAACCTCGTATCTGCCCGGATACAGCTTCAAGCGCAAAGAAAAAATACCTGTACTCAATTTCTCCATCTTCCTCTGCAATCAAATATTGCATATTATGCTACCAATCAAGGATAAAACATAGTGAAGATGATTAATATCATAATATGCTGTTTTCTTTCCCAAGTAATGGGGATGTGAAATGATTTACAGACTCAAAACTGCAAGTGCCCATTAATCTATCAGAGTACAAAGACTTTACATAGCTTTTGATGTCTGTTATCCATCACTTTCATCGATACAAATGACGATGTAGATCTAACTTTTAAAAGTAACTAATTCCTATTGTTTTTTTTGTAGTTACAGACCCTTGAATGAACATCAAGAAATTATAGATCATATAACTTTTTCTATCCAATTGCCTTATGGGAAACTCCATTATTAGATTGTAGATTTGTAGTGGGGTAGATGTTTTGCTATACAAGGAATCAGGGTTGCAATGACGGAGAAGAATAGAACAACTTTGCTTTAAATCACAAAACCTCGCAAAATCATATTTGCACATCTTTTCATCTTTTTTTTTTTCCACTTGTAGGTTAAGTGCAATCAAATTAGCATATCTTGTGTGCAAAGTGGAAACTCCTATAAATATCAAATTTAGTTGTTTTAATGCAGCAAAACGAGTTCCTGCATTTAAGGAAGGGCTATGTTATGCTTCAAACATCAGCAATACCAAGAGTCAAGAGATCTATGAAGCAGTTCCAAACCATTATCCCCATTTTGAGTTTCAACTGTATCTGCTTCCAAACTGAATCTACATAATAACTAACCTTAACTCACAAGAATGGAAAGCACTGGATATGTGAACCACTGGTTTGGACACATCACCATGTTAACTTAAATCTATTAAATGAAAAAATAAAATTAGGCAATAAATTGCAGACTGATTAAGCATGAAAAAGCAAATCATTTTCTGATGATCAATTTTTCAGGAAGAAAGAAACCAACAAAATGAAGTTTCCCTATCACCAAAAGATTGATGTAACCCTCAAAATTAGAATAGCATCTGTTAGAAATAAACAGTTATAGAAGATGGAAAGGCAAAGAAATAAATAGACTAGGAAGTGGAGAGTCTATAAAACTGTCCATTGTTGTAGTATATATATCTAAGTTGTAGCAGTGAAGAAGACATAGAAAATAGAACAAACACATTGGTTGATATCCTCTCTTTCTAGCAACATGGTATCAGAGCCGGCGAGAGTGAAGTAGTGGGCCGTGCTTGGAAAGAGGAGGCGACGCCGGAGCTCGAGCCGCACCGCCATCGGAGCTTCCACGCGCCGCCGCCGTCCAGATGCTCCGACGCCACGCGCCGGCGCGTGAGGCGTTCTCCGGCCACCTTCGTCGACGGCAATTGCTCTGGGGGGACTCGCTGTGTGGAGTAGGTTCTGGCCAGGTATGTTTTGTGGAGTTCTGGTTTGTGGATGTTTGCACTTAGGGTTTGCAGTCCTGGGTTGAACGTGAATAGGGAACAGTTTATTGTTGCTTCTCCTTAAGATTTTGGGTTTACCGTCCTAGGTTCAACTTGAATAGGCAGTCATGGCAGAAGGAAGTAATAGGAATATTACTGTTGTATCTACTCCATCTAAATTAATTGATGTAGTATTGACTGCTGATGGGTCTAATTTTGCTGAATGGAAATTCTTGTTTAAAATTAATTTAGATGGAATGGGTAAAGGGGACCATTTAGATTAAGATTGCCCTGCAGATAATAAAGAATGGGAAGCAGATGAGCTTTATTATCACGAGTAATTAATTGTATTGATAGGAAGGTAATTTTATCAATGCAACATTGTACCACAGTTAAAGCAGTGTGGGAGTTAGTGTCTGAATGGTTCAGAGGGACAAGCAATTTAAGGAAATTATATCAGTTGTCTCAGGATGTCTATAGACCTAATCAAAAAGGTCGAGATCTGAGAGATTACTATTATGATTTTAAAAGCTTAAGTGAAGCTTTATGCACTGCAATGCCTATTACAACTGATGTGAAAACAATAAAAACACAATGTGATCAGTTAATTGCTTTTAGTTGGATTTCCGGACTTGACAAAGAATATGAGATTCTTAGGTCACAATTATTGGGAAACAAGGAATTAGGGTCGTTGGACCAAGTGTTCGCTCAGATACAAAATGCAGCAGTAAGTACTGACAATAATGAACCGGTTGAGAAGAGTGTTTTTATATCACAAGGGAGCAATAGTGATGGAAGTGTGTTTGTATCTCAAGGAAATTATACTAATGAAGGGTATAATAGTCGAGGTGGAGGTGGTCGCCATCAAGGACGTGGTGGAAGAGGCTGTGGAGGAGGTCGTGGGGGACCAAGGGTATGTTTCAATTGTGGAGAACCGGGCCATTTCAAAAATCAATGTCCTAAACCACCCATGAAAGCGTCTAAAGTCTTTTGGTCTGATGCTGTTCATACAGCATGTTTCTTGATCAATCGGATGCCATCGTCTGTCCTTCAAGGTCAAATTCCTTATTCTTTAGTGTATCCGATTGACTCTCTTTTTCATCTCCCACCCAAAATATTGGATGTACTTGTTTTGTCCAGGATGTTCGTCCTCAACGCCGAAAACTTAATCCAAAATCTCTTAAGTGTATATTCCTGGGATACTCGCATACTCAGAAGGGTTATAGATGCTATTCACCTGACTTGGGGCGGTATTTAGTGTCAGCCGATGTTACTTTCTTTGAAAACATGGTGTTCACTGGGAGTGTTGGGTCATCTGGGTATGGGTCTACTCAAGACAATGACTTTCTTACATATACTATTACCATACCTGTCGAGTCTGTTTCTAGACCCCCCATTACACAGGTTTATACTCGGCGGCTGAGAGATGAAGTGGCACCACCCGAACCACAAGTGAATACTTCTTCCTTACCAGAATCTTCGTCAAATGATCTGGATCTTCCCATTGCCCTTCGTAAAGGTAAACGCCGTTGTCAAAACCCTATTTCCTCTTTTGTGTCTTATAATCATTTGCCATTGTCATCTCGCACCTTTGTATCATGTTTAGATTCTATGTCAGTTCCAAACGCTTTGAGTCGGGCTTTAGCACATGATGGGTGGAGACAGACAATGGAGGAGGAGATGGCTGCTCTTGAGGACAACCATACTTGGGATTTGGTACCCCTCCCGGTCGGTAAGACTGCATATGGTTGCAACTGGGTTTATGTTGTGAAAATGAACCCTGATGGGTCTGTGGCTAGACATAAAGCTCATCTAGTAGCAAAGGGATATACACAAACTTATGGTGTTGATTATACAGAATCTTTCTCCCCGATAGCTAAGATAGCTTCAGTTTGTATCTTTATTTCCTTAGCTGCGTCTAACCACTGGCCTCTGTATCAGCTAGATGTCAAAATTGCCTTTTTGCATGGTGATTTGGTTGAGGAAGTCTACATGGAGCAACCTCCTGGGTTTGTTGCTCAGGGGGAGTCTGGAAGAGTGTGTAAATTGAAAAAGTCTCTATATGGCCTGAAGCAATCTCCACGAGCTTGGTTTGGGAGGTTTAGTAGTGTGATTATGGAGTTTGGTATGCAAAGGAGTCAGTGTGATCATACTGTCTTTTTCAAGCATACTAATGATGGGTGCATTCTCTTGATTGTTTATGTTGATGATATAGTAATCACAAGTAATGATGCAGTAGGTATTGAAGCTCTTAAATCTTTCCTCAAAGAAAAGTTTCACACGAAAGATTTGGGAGTGTTGAAGTATTTTTTAGGAATTGAAGTTGCTCGCTCTCGAAAAGGAATATTTCTCTCCCAAAGGAAATATGTGCTAGATCTGATTGATGATACTGGGTTGTTGGGATCAAAACCATGTGAGACCCCTATGGAGTAGGGTGTGAGACTTGTGGCTGGTGAGGGGGAGGCCTTTGATTCTCCAGAAAGATATAGGAAGTTGGTGGGAAAGTTGAATTATCTCACCATTACGTGTCCTGATATTGCTTTTCCAGTTAGTGTGGTAAGTCAGTTCATGCAAGCACCCATGCGAACTCATTGGGAGGCAGCAGTTCGAATTGTAAAGTATCTCAAGAATGCACCAGGTAAAGGCATTCTATATGCTGATCATGGTCATGCGAGAGTTGAGGCATTTTCAGATGCTGATTGGGCAGGTTCGTTCAGTGACAGGAAGTCTACAACAGGGCATTGTGTGTTTGTAGGAGGTAATTTGGTTTCTTGGAAAAGCAAGAAACAGACTGTTGTGGCTCAGTCTAGTGCAGAATCTGAGTACAGGGCGATGGCTCATGTTACATGTGAAATAACTTGGGTGCACAATATGTTGAAGGAGGTTGGTGTGGAAGTGATGAAGCCCATACGTTTATGGTGTGATAATCAAGCAGCTATACACATTTCAAACAATCCAGTGTTCCATGAGCATACCAAGCATATTGAGGTAGATTGTCATTTTGTGCGTGAAAAGATTCAACAAGGCCTCATTTCCATGGCTCATGTTCGTAGCGGCGATCAACTAGCTGATGTGTTCACCAAAGGGCTTAGCAGGGACAGGGTTGAGTATATTTGTAACAAGTTGGGCATGATTAATATATATGCTCCAGCTCGAGGGGGAGTGTTAGAAATAAACAGTTATAGAAGATGGAAAGGCATAGAAATAAATAGACTTGGAAGTGGAGTCTATAAAACTGTCCATTGTTGTAGTATATATATCTAAGTTGTAGCAGTGAAGAAGACACATAAAATAGAACAAACACATTGGTTGATATCCTCTTTTTCTAGCAACAACATCTAGTAATCTAGTTTTTGCCCCCATCCACCTGCTAGATGTTGCTCTCTACAGTCACTCTAGCAAACATTCATAAATTGTGCCACTTGGAACATTGCTCAAGTGTCCTACAGTAAGTAAGTTTGGGCAATTCTATGAGGAAAATATTGTGCTTTAATTAAGGCAAACTACAGCAAGCTTCTTTCTACTAATTCATGTGAAATAAAATCAAACCTGTGTTGCCCAACCATCAAAGGAACCTACTAGGAGAACTTCTGAAGCAGAGTTAGGCCAAACAATATGGGCATTATGAAGAAGTTGCAAAGCTTTATGAGCACCATCAATCCTTTTCTGCTTTTCTTCCAGCATCTTTTGTGCATCACTGAAAAGTATGGCATTTGTTTACTAATTGAAGATGTGTATCCATAATTCCAAAGTACATGATTAAATAGAATGGAGTCATACATACATTGTTGCTAATGTCATTTTGCCCTCAGTTACAGCTAGCTTTGCACGTATTGACCGCAATCTCTCGTGAGCATTAATGAACTCATTCTCCTGGAATTCCCATGCATCAGAAAGCTTTTCCAGACCACTTGTAGTAACCTGGGGAAAATTAAAGGAAACCATTATCTAGAGCACCTGGATGACTACCTTGCATATGACTTTTGCAATTTGAAAAAGATATTTTTGAAAGAAATTTTTTATTAATAGTTTAGTTTGCCATAGTTTGATAAGTTTAAAAATCTTAAAGGTATCAGTTAGTTACTTTATTAGTTTAGTTTGCTTATTGCATAGTAAACATACATCTTAGGATTTCTAGTTCCCCTATGTTCCATGTTTTAGTACAAATACTGTGCCTATTGTAGTCTCTATAGTCTATAATTGTAACTAAGTATGCAATTTCTCTCTATTATTCTCAGTTGTCAAAATAAAGATATCTTAGAAACAAAGGCACCAAATACAGATAATTGTGATTTTACATTCTGAAGTGTGGAAACAAGAAAATAATTAAAAAGAAGAAGAAAGGAAGAAAGAAAGCAAAACTTTTAGATTTCAACCCAGAGCTGTTTGACCTAACATCCATAAAAATATGGACCAGAAATCTTAGATGAAATTTTAACTATTACAAAATGCAGTATGAACTACGGAGTAGATTTTATTCTGATGAACCAGGACAGCAATTTTCCAAGTAGAAATCAAGAAAATTTCAAATATGTTAATTCAATGGAAACAAAAAAATGCCAACGAAAAATTGAACTTCTGACAACAATTATATGGGTATAACTGAATAATAATTTGACTTGAATGCAACACCAACTATTTTTTGAATGATAGTTGGAGTTTGGTATATGGACTTATATTTGTGAAACAATCATGAAACGAATTTCCTGTTTAAAACTCAAAACAAATACCAGATCTCTATCCAATGGTCTAACCAGCTATGACTAATTTGGTTCTCATAGCAGAAACAAATGATTGAACTTGTGACAGGTTGTTAACATGTAACAATGAATTCATTTAGTTAGGTATTCTATAAAAAGAACAACAGTAAATTAAGATGAATGTATGAGAAGAAAATGGCAATCCCTAATACTCTGTTAGAAGTAATTGGCCAAATCACAAAATAGAAGAATGAGATGTCCCACCTCTCTTGAAATGTACTCTTCACTTTTGGACCTCAGCAACTGAAGAGCTGAAGCAAGCTCAACTTCTAGGTGCATTAGGCGAGTTCTTATGTTGTTGTGATTATTACCATTTTGCCTATTTAAATCATCAGTAACACTTTCTGCCAGAAGATCTATGTCATCCATTGAAGCATTTCTTTCACCTTCTCTATTGATCATTCCAAGGTCAATCCTGTCTTTTTAAACAATGAAATAAAATCGCATTTTTATGGTTTAGAAAATGATTGTATGGATGAGCCTACATCAGAATGAACATAAATCAGACAACTACGCCATGTCACCTTTAACAGTTCAACCAGTTCACAGCAAAAGCGTCAGAATTATTGAATAAACTCAAAATTAACTACCATGTTAATGGTAACAGTTCTACAAATAAACTCAAAATTAACTACCATGTTAATGGTAACAGTTCTACAAATGCCAAAACCGAGATTTACATCCAAATGCATGTTATAAAAGAAGTCTTCATTTATGAAGATTATGTAACCACAGCTAAAAAGCATTAACACCAAGAGAGAATAACGGCTTGATAATGAAACAACACTTACCAGAACCAGTGGATACAGGGTTCCTATCATTCTGGCCATCCCTGCTCGAACCATGGTTTCCATTTCTATAATTTCCAATATTGATACCAAGGAACGAATTTCTCTCTTTCTCTAAGCGACTTAGTATCCCCTCAATCCCACCACCTTCCTCAGCTTCAGTTTCTCTGAGTCAAAAACAAAGAAAAGATCAAAATAACTCAGTGAAAACTATATAACTCAAATCTCAGCTATCTAAAAAAAAAAACATAAATCCATAGAAACATAAGATAAACCCTTGCAAGAATTCTTTTTCCTTACCAATTTCATTGACTTCTTCCACCACTATAATATCAAGAGTTAAATGTCTAAGTGTTCCAAAAATAGAAAGAGGAATTACTGAGCACTTCTACAATAACTTCATCAACTTAAACGATAAAGCAATCAAATAAGACACATTATTCCAGTAACAGAAGAATGTTATTATTTACATATTGTGTATAGTTAGCAAAAACCTAGATATATGCATGGTGATGTCAAAAGAGAAGCATTTATCAGGGAAGAAATCCCAAATAGGAACCTCACAATAATCTACCGGATGAAGAAGCTGGCTGAGATGCAGTCTCAGAAGAATCATCAAAACCACTTGACTCCACTTCATTGTTTTCAAACGCTAGAGCCTCTTCATCAAATGCAGTCTCTTGAGAAGGCACTACTTCATTGTTCTCAATAGTTGTAGTCTCTTGACAACTCGCCAGTCTCCTTCGAAGCTTCTCAATTTCAAAATCAATGTCCAATGCCTCGGCTTCTTTATCTACCTGCTCCTCATCCCCTGAATTCCAACCAAGCGTAAACCACCCTCCTCTCTCGCTAATAGCATCAACCAAATCGAACCTCCCCGCTTTCTCCAACTCTTTCCTAGACGGAAACGTCGCGGGCTTTTCGGATTTCTCCATGAACTCCAAAATCCTTGCCTCCAGCTCAGCGTCGCCTTCGCTCGCCAACCCTCCAGCACAACAACACCAATCACAGCCCTCACTTCTCCTCCTCCTCCTGCTCCGCCCAGTCCTCCTCAGCTCAAGAATCCCGTACACACCCATCCCTTTCGCCGCCTCGGGGGTAAAAGTTTTAAATTTTGGGAGGCAATGAACCATTAACACGGGCCTCAACACAAAAACAAGTGAGGGCACGAATGGAGCATTCAACTGTGAGGACGGAATGAAAAGGTTCAAGGCCGCAATGTGTGAGACCATTTCTCAGGCATTTCGTCGAACAGCTGGAGGACGACTCGTGCCTGTAAATCTGTAATAGAGTGCGTGCACCACAGGAAAGAAGTGACCGGTGAAAAAACGACTGAACCAGCAATGCAGCACCGAATAGCGTGGACTGTGGAGGGCATAAATTAAATATTTAACATTATCTTATTAAGGATACAAATATAATTTTTGAATCAATTCAAAAATTTTATGTAATAGTGCTATTTTTTATTAGACCACGAAGTATGGATGGTAATTTGTCCCGTTCTTGACGAGGATTTTCCCGTCCCGACGGAAATGAAGATGGAAAAAATTTTTAAGGAACGACAACGGAGATGGAGAATGTATGTAATTTTCTGTAGGGGACAAGGACAGAAATACCTCTCCCTGCCCCGTCTTTGAATAATTATTATAATTAAAAATTTTATATATATATATATATATATATATATATATATATATATATATATATATATATATATATATATATTAAATTAAGACTTAGGAGATTTTGATTAAGAGTTGACCGGAAACGGGAAATCCCTGTCTCCGTCTAATTTTCGGCGAAGATAGGAATGGAGACTATTTTCAATTTTCCGTTAGGGATGGAGACGAGGCCCGCCCCCGCCCTACCTAGTTGTTATTCTTACCACGAAGTATCTTAAATAGACTCTAATTATAAGAGACACTTTTAATTACATATCATATTCAGACTAATTTCCATTTGCATCGAGCCGGCTCAATTAAGGGACAAAGTGAGACTATATTAAGGCAAATTATTGTGTGAACCATGGTCCACACAGAGTTATGTGGACCATAACAAAAAGTACATTTTAATATATTAAATGTACATTATTTTTGTACTGAATGTATATTATACAATATAATGTACACTCAGTATAAAAATAATGTATATTTCCTAAATACAATGTACATTATTTTTGAACTGAATGTATATTATTTTTATACTGAATGTACATTATTTTACAGTATACAAAATATGGTTCACACAATAATGATTGCTATATTAAAGCTGGAGTACCATATACTAATCTCCTTTATTATAAAGTCATACATAATCTCAAATAATGATTGCAGATTTTGTTGTTAATTCAAATAATAGTCTACTCACTAAAAACTCAAAATATAATGCTAAATAAAGATACAAATCATAGTAAAAACTATCATTATACAAAGTCAGGTTTTGAGTGTAGTGTGTTTGTTTTCTTGTCCTATCTATGATAATATGATATTCCTTCAAGGATCCTTTTTGAAACAGTTCACAGATGTTGCCACTTCACAATTGTCATGGACACGTGATCACTGTATGGCTACTATTCATATGTAATAAGTTAGTTTTGTCACCATGTCTTATGTACCCATCAGTTGATGTCATTGTCTAATGTCTACAAGTTAGTTTAGCAATGTATGTATAATATAATCAATCTTAATTTCCTTTTATATATATATATATATATATATATATATATATATATATATATATATATATATATATATTTATCTACATCTACAATTTCTACAATTCTAATAAGAGCCAATAATGTTAGGCTTGGCTCTTAACTGAAACAAAAAAAATGTCGGTACTACTTGTTTCTTAAAATGAATGGTTCATAGTATTTTGATTTTAGTATTTTTAATGATTTTTCTTATTTACCCTTTATTATATTATTTTCTTTCCTTAAATAATCTTAAATTCCGTTAGTATAAACTTTATTAACGGAATATTCCGTTAACTATTTATTATTCTTAAGAGTTAATTCCAGCAATGGTCCTCCGACTATAGTGATTTTCCAAAATTAGTCCCCGACTTTTAATTTGGACACTTTAGGTCCCTTGACTTTCAATTTCTTTCCAATTGAGGTCCTTTCGTTAGAATATGGTTCATTAGACTTTAAATGAAGGGGTAAACTCGTCCTTTCACCTGCCCATGTATTATTCTTCGTATTTCGCTGTTATACCTTGTAAACATCTCAATAATAGAGGAACGCACACACGAGTAGTCAGCAAATGGAGAACGACGAGGAACATTTTAGGGTTTCGACTAAGATTATCTTCATATATATCGCGTATACAATGGAGAAATACTAAGAATAATACATAGGCAAGTGAAATGATGAGTTTACCCCTTCATTTAAAATTCAATTAACCGTATTCTGACGAAAGGACCTCAATTGGAAAGAAATTGAAAGTCAAGGGACCTAAAGTGTACAAATTAAAAGTCAAGGACTAATTTTGGAAAATCAATATAGTCGGAGGACCATTGCTGGAATTAACTCTTATTCTTAACTTACTTATTAATTTCTATAAGAAAGGTCTTAGGTTCGAACCTCATTCCAATTAGAGTTAGCATAATTGTTAAGCATATAATACGAATATGTTAAAATGTATTAAAAAAATAAAATATAAAATTTAACATAAACTTTGGTCAAATAATTAGCCCGACTAAATACATAGTATTCAATGATTATAAATCATGAACTTTGATAATCATTTGATTTTTTTTCATTAAAAAAAATAAATTTAACTTCAGTTTTTTTTTTTTTCGTTTAATTAATATTCTTTTGATTATTGAGAACAAAACTTAATATTTCAATTATGCTTTTATCAATGCATGAAAACTTCTAAAGAAATTTGTAAGATAATTTTAATATATTATTATTATTATTATAATAATATCTATTGTAACCTTATATTTTGAATTATTTATTATCATCATCTATTGATAGCAATTGTTATTGACAAACTCTCAAAACAATTTGTCTCAACAACGAATGGAAATTTAAAAAAAAAATCAATGATTTCATTATTGTGGATGAAAAATATGTACGCCACTTTATTCAATCGTTATGTTGTGGAACTGTGTCCACCTTCCAATGTGGACACAGTTCTATGTTCATAATTACTGAACTATATGTTTATAATTATAAAGCTATATGTTCATAATTTTTGAACTTCATATTCATAATTATTGAACTCTATATTCACAATTACAGAACTCTATGTTCATAATTACTGAACTATATGTTTATAATTATAAAGCTATATATTCATAATTTTTAACTTCATATTCACAATTATTGAATCTCTATATTCATAATTACAGAACTATATGTTCATAATTATGTTCACAACTCTATGTTCATAATTTCTGAACTATATATTCATAATTATGAACAATTTTGGAACCGGGTCCACCTTTGTCCACCTTGCAAGGTGGACACGGTTCCACATCATAATTTTCCAACTTTATTGCTGTTATTACTTAAATTAAAAAATAAATTAGTAGCTACAACAAAAAATAATATATATGTATTTAATTAATTTAGAATTAGATGTCTCACAACACATGAAACATGTAGGGGAAAACTACCACTTCCAAATATCAACATGTGCTTGTAAGATAAAGAGTTCATAGCACAACTAAGATCTCAGTCATATACATAACAAGACAAATCTAAAACTTCATACATCATAATCTCATTGCATGATGAATCCCTTTATGATACTACCAATAAACCAATTGCACATGACACACTACCAATAACACAAAAAAAAAAAAAAAGACATGTACTGAAGATGAAAACAATAACAATGTGGTAGGGAATATCCCGACCGACATAAGCTTTACCCCGACCGACTTGCCTTTGTTTTTCTCTCTTTGTTTTACAGGTAACAGGTCGGGCTTCATGTGAAGAACCCGGTCGGGGTCCGACCGGGAGTTGCCCGAGCAGTAGTGTCGACCACCGAGCGGTAGCCCTTTGGCGAGAGAGCTGACAAAGGACACGTGGCAGCTCTTTACGACGACAGACAAGGCACCCGAGAGGATGACACGTGGTGGCTACGTGGAGAACATGCCGAACGACCGGATTCTTGTCCCCGGCACAGCGGCTATAAATACCCACAGTAGCTACAGTGTAGAGGACTTTTGGACGATCGATAGGTTGTTACTAGAGAATCCCGACCGCAGTCAGTCGGCACTCAGAGCAACCAAGTAGATTGTACTTAGGGCCTCTACCGTGATCAATAAAGATATTTACTTGCTTTAATTGGTCTCGGGTTTATTTTATATTGCTTACGTAGAATTAGCAGTATCATTTTGGCGCCGTCCATGGGGACCCGTGCAAGAAAGCAACGTCTTGACGAGCACTCAGTTCCTTTGCAACAATGTATCCGTGGGCATACAACAATTTCGTCGACGATCAGGTGGATGCAGCGAGTTCATCCAATCACCACGCTACCCAACAGCAAGGTCAGACGGTGGACTTGAATCTTAATCTCTCACCACCGCATCCATCTAACACATACCCGGCTGCCCAACAGCCGGTGAACTACATTCAACCGGGATATCCAACACCCGGTCAGCCGTATCAACAACAGTCGGTGATGTATCCCGGTCAGTACCCGTACCCGGTCCCACCTCCGCCGTACGGGTATTGGCCTGGCCAACCGATGTACTACACTCCCCCGGTTGGGTATCCACCATATACGCCTGCTTACACGGCTCCAGCCGCTACCCCTTCAGTTTACCCGACCCCACAGGTAGAGCCGCAGCGTCAGTTCGCTTCCCGGGCTCGACGCTCGGCTCGTTCGCGGTTGGGGTCGGGGGGTGCTGATGCGATGGAGGCACCATGGCAGGCCCAGCAAGCGGCCGAGGTTCCCGCCCAAGCGGAGGACCCCGAAGAAGTTGCCCGAGCGGCAGCTTTTGATCGTCTTCGACCGGAGATGCGGCAGCGTTTGGGACCCCAAGACCCGAATCGTCAGCCGGAAGACGTGCAGATGCAGGAAGCCAGCCAGGAGGCTTCATCCGGGTATAGTGGGTCGAGATCTCACCGACGGCGACGCGCTCGGGATACAGCCCAAGCTGCCCAAGCCGCTGAGCTCAACGAGACCCGAGGATTGCTCTATAACCTCCAGGCGGAGTTTGCGCAATTCAGAAACGCGCACCCTGCAACACCCCCGGTCGACCAATCGACCCTACACCAGACGCCTTTCACAGCGGCGGTGATGGCTCAGCCTTACCCGCTTGATTTAAAGGTCTCTGGAGAGAAAAGTTATGATGGCCGGACAGACCCCGAGGCTCATGTTAACGACTTCTACAGCAATATGATGCTGAAGGGTGT